AGATAGATAGATAGATAGATAGATAGATAGATAGATAGATAGATAAATAGTCAGATGATAGATAGATAGATAGATAGATAGAGAGAGAGAGAGAGAGATATAGAGAGAGAGATAGACTCACACACCTGCATTGCCTGGAACACTGAGTAACGTCCCAATGGATATGAGAATAGGATACGTGAGTACCACTCCTACATTGACCAGGATGTTAAATACTACGAGAGGGAGAGAGGGAGGGAGGGAACGAAGTGGAAAAAAAACAAAACAGGAACTTTATGTTATGGTTTGGCCATATAGCATCTTTTTTTCATTCAATCCTCTCTAAGTGGCCAAATACACAGAGAACTTCACATGATTTGGACGAGTGACAATAGTTAATGGATATCATATTATCCTTAAAACACCCTTGAGATACAGAGCTCCACTTCAGCTCAAATATACAGTAAATATAAGTGGATCTGTTACTATTATCCTCTACATAGACTGATGCAGCACATATTGGATATCTAAGAAATGCTACTTCCGAGGTGTAAACTGATGATTCTAACCTGATTTCCCTCACTTACTAAGCACTTAAAGCACTCTTGGAAGTGTACTTAAGGGTTGTATTTGATCCACTACAACACTAACACACATCTGAACCAGCAGTGATCAAGTGGTAAACTGTCAGCAGGATTTAACGCCAGTACTTGTGTACAAACTGAAGTCTTTAATTATTATTTTTTTTTTTTCCCCAGCTGGTTAGCATTTGCCATTTAGTACTGTAGATGGTGCAACATTACGTTGCCAAAAACATACTTCTCTACAGTTTTTAAACAACTAACATATAGACTATTGTTCAAAAATGATTTTCTTAGAGGTTTTTGAAAGAAGTCTCCTGTGCTCCTGAAAGTTGCATTTATTTGATCAAAGATACAGTATAATAATAATATTGTGATGTATTCTTACATTAGTTATTAAAAATAACTATTGTACTTTTTTTATTTATTTTAAAATGTAATTTATTCCTGTGATGGCAAAGATCATGTAAAGCTATTACTCAAGTCTTCACTCACATGATCCTTCAGAAATCATTCTAATATGCTGATCTGCTGAAATATTTATTATTATTATTAACATTCTTGAAAACATCGTGCTGCTTAATATTTTTTCTATAAAACATGTTTTTTAAGGATGCTTTGATGAATATATAAAGTTAAAAAGAACCAGATTTATTTTAAATTAAAAAAGCCTGAAACATTGTCTTTCATGCCACTTTTGATCAATTCAATGCATCCTTTCTGAATAAAAGTATTATATTCTTTAAAAAAATCCTACTGACCCTATAAACTTTTGAACAGTAGTGTATATCGCTAATATTTCATTATGTTTACCAGTGCCTGAAACATAAAAACCAGAGATATTTCATTAGATTATTGTAGATATGGTGGATGGCAAATGTTGCTAAGTTTGGTCAGTAATGTTTTTAAAGTAAGGCTGAAGAATCAGTTTCCATAATTTCATGTTACCTAGCCAAAGGCCGGCCACCCCACAAAGGTAACCCCAGGGCAAAGAGGAGAGGGAACCCCAGTGCTCCACTCTGGTGAAGTACAGGATGAGGGGAACGCAGGAGATGAAGATGAGATTGAAAAAGCCCATCGTGGAGAAGAAATGAGCAGCCTCGCCCAGATTGGCACTGCCGAGGAACATCTTAAACAGCACCTGAGTAGTATAAATAAAGCATATCAAAACGAAAGGAGTCTTAATGGTCATCAAGGATCTTCTGGTAATCGTTATTTTCAGCTGCACTCACCTTGTAGAGAGCAGAAGTGGAGGCGGAGCCGACTGCTAAGGCCACACCCATAAAGGAATCCCCATGGAAACCATCAGCATATGCCATCATCACAATGCCTGTGATAGCCATAATGGCAGCCACAATCTAAGAGGAAAGATCATAAAGACATTATAATTCAATAAAGCCTTTAAAATGATTGAAGTTTATACCACAATAAATATTCAGAGAATGAGATTCATTCATCTTAATGCCTGTGAGTAAATGTTAAGGATATTGTTATATCAGCCAGTCAGTCACAAAATTAGCCCTGGCAGTGTGATCAGGCCCCCAGAAAGGTTTCAAATAACCCAGAGGGTTTATTTTGTGATAAGTACCAGCTGACTATACATTATCCTGCTAATTAAATGGCTTCTTACCAAATAGTGTACAACAGCAAGCAATTTTTTGGGTCCAAGCACATGTGTGAATAACATAATCAAAATGGCAAAATTTGAAAGAGTAGGTCCTGCTTAATTGTTTTAATGTGCCATTTTAAAATTCCCTGATCAAAGCAACAAATCTTTAACATTAAAAATTTATGAAATTTGACATGTATACTTGCATTGTTTTAGTGTACCTTGTATACAAAGACAATGCATGTGCATTCACAAAATACAAACCAATTATAACTTTTTGTTTTGAGTGTGTCTAGATATGAAGCAAATTTTATGAAAACTGGACACACTATCTAAATGACAAGTTCAAAAAAGTAAGTTTTGGCAACACTTTAATTTAGGGACCAATTCCCAGTATTAACTAGTTGCTTATTAGCATGCATATTACAAGCATTTTGGCTGTTTGTTAGTACTTATAAAGCACATGTTAATGTCTTATTCTTTTAGATTCCATAATCCTACACCATGCCTAAACTTAACTACCTAAAGTGGTTTTGATGCTTGAACCCCTAAAAAGTAAATGCACAAGAAATTCTGCAACTAGTTGAGTAATAATCAGGGTTATATTCTACCTACCCGCACACCCATGAAACGATCCTTGAGGACAATCCACGACAAGAGGAAGACAAAGGCCTTGTGGCAGCAGTAGAGTGCTGAGACGTCTGTAGCGGTTAGTTTTCTCAGTGCTAACAGGTACAGGTAGTTAGTAAGCGTCCACAAGATGGAGAAAGGCGCCGTTCTCTTCAAAAACACCTTCAGAGACATTCCGTCCTCCCCAAACAACCGACTACATTCCCTACACAGTGAAATGAGAAACAATAAAGGTTTTTGTTGTTTGCTTACTTTGATAATGAAGCACTGTAGCCTACTAGTGGCTTAGCCTAGAAATTGAAAGTTTAGTTAGGTAACCAAAAGGTTGCAGATTTGAACTCTGCAAGGGGTTATCTGTGGGCTAGTTAAAGGTTCAAACCAGATTTGATGTCAGTGATGGCAAACGCTGGTTCTCAGGTGTTTTGTAACCAATCGTAACATCAACCAATTTTAAATATTAAGTTAAGTACAAATGAACCTAACTCCAGGTCCATGCCAAAAGCTTTAGTGTGAAAGACACTAGAAATGTTCAACACAATCTAATGGCAGTTTGTGACTACTTGACGAATTGGTGGCAAAATTATATGCATTCGTATAATCTCATTCATAAATTTTCGTATGGTTACGAAACAATTTTTGTATGGTTATGGTAAACCTCCCCTGATGGTTAGCTTTAGCGGTGGACCTTCAAGATTAGTTTAGTTTTTTATTTTCCTAAAAATTGTACATTGTACATTTGATTCATTTGAAATTCATATAAAATCACCAACACTTAAAAAAAAAGCTTTTTCATGAGATTGAGTTGGAACTAATCCTTGTACTGAATTGCCACTTGTCACTTTTTTGTATACAATTGCAATTAAATGGAGACTAAAAGCTCCTTAAAAAAGGATCCAAAAAGACAATTTAATTATAAAAGTGGTCCTTATGGCTAGGTGCTTTTATATAGACATACAATATACTTGTGTGTGGAATAAACAAAAAATTTATCAATTTTTCTCTGAAAATCACAAATCTCCTTGTTACATTCATGAGAAAAGTAGCAATGTTCAGTTTGTCTAATAGATGAATTGGTTGCTCTAGTTCACAAAACCATTCTGAATGAGTCGCTCTGAACCGTTTGTACTGTACTCTTGCTCTAAAGCAGGAATGGGCGACTCTGGACCTGGATGGCCACTATCCTGCAGAGTTTAGCTCCCCAATCAAACCTGGAAAATCTAACTTGATATACAGGTGCATCTCAATAAATTAGAATGTCGTGGAAAAGTTCATTTATTTCAGTAATTCAACTCAAATTGTGAAACTCGTGTATTAAATAAATTCAATGCACACAGACTGAAGTAGTTTAAGTCTTTGTATTTCAGATTAGAGCTAAACTGTCGTGCAGTGGAGAGCCACTTTCCTGCTTTAGGGAAACTGTAATAGGTGTACAGTACGTTGCATTGGATGAAAGTGTCAGCTAAAGAAAAAAAGAGTAAATGTTTCATTTTTACAAGTTTGCTGTTATTGTACTTCCTACACAAAGTTCTGCTTTTCACATCACATCCTAATCCACCAGATTCATTCATTCTGACTTTACCTGAATTTCTGAATGGGCGTCTGTTTTTCTCTGGTAGTGGCCACGTGCCCAGAATAGTAGAGGGGGAAGAAGAGAATGTTCCAGTTGGTGCTGAACCATGTGATGAAAAAGGGACAGGAAAAGGATTTGAATGTGAGCTGGACCACCTGTGTGATGCCCACCCAGCACGAGGAGACACACAGCACCACCAGCAAACCCCCCAGCACCTTGAGCACTGTGTTGACGCAGGTCTGATATGCAGTGCCATCTCCACTTGTTTCACTGACTGGAGTCTCTGCATGTGATTCTGTGCCGTCCTCTCCTGCAACACACAGATCAGTATTGCACCATTACAGCACACATTATACTTCCTTGCCTCCTTACATCCCAGGTAATAAAATTGGATTATGAAATCCCTTGTGTTTATTTTTATTCTGCACAGAGTTATGCAGCTCCAACTGTGTTTAGCGTACATATTCTATTCATGGGATGATAAAACTGCGTCTATATACATGCTTGTATTCACATGTTAGCATGTTAGCTAAATTCATGACCTTAAAGTGCATTATTATGAAAATGTATAATGTTCAGATTTGAACCTGTGTCCTTTTGAAACACACACACACACACTGGGTTTTACTACCAAATTAAATGTAACATCTAATTATTATAATATTTAATTTACACTGGAAAGGTTTCTGCGACATTGTGGGAATTTATTTCCAGAACATGATGCATGATGTGATCTGCGCTTTGGCATTTTTAAGACCCGGGTCAGTCTTGCGCAATTATTTCCTGTTGAATGCACGCTCTCAAGTGTCCAAGACCGCAAGTGTGGGTATTTGGACAGGCCCAGAAAACTTCTTAAGCCTTTACTTCGGTTTTACACGAGGGTCCGCGTACAGTGCATGTGATGCAAATTTCATTAGAATAGTACTAGTGTACTGTACCACCCGGTTTTTGTAACTGCGCATGCTTTGCACGCCCAGGTCGCACATGCACATTGAATTTGTTTTGCACAAATCAGTTGTTCCACAACACTGAGTTAAGAGAAGAGACACAGCTTTAGTTTAAAAGAGTACAAAGATATTTTTAACGCTCATAACTTCTGGAGAAAAATAGTGCAGACACAGGACTAAGATGAAGCTTTCTAGTGTTTGACTGCCTGTGTTCGTGCACGCTATCAACTGGAGTATACTTTGAAAGGATGCACTTTAGACTGTATGCATAGGCTAGCGTATGCGTACAAACACAAAGTATACTTTGGGCTTTAGTTTGAAACTGAATGAGCCCATGTTAAAACCGAGTAAAAAGAGCAAGTGAATTAAATAACCAGAAACTTTTTGAATAATTTGCTGAAAATAAAACTGAGCACAGGGTTAAGCTGTACTGCTGTTGACTGCTGCCCAGTGAGTAGCCACAAACCTGCTTTAATAAATCTCATTTCACCTCAACGCTTTATTAAATAACTTAACCACAAAGCTACCTGATGTTCTAATAATACAAGCCAATGTTCACACTAAACAAACATGAACGTGGCCACAGGGACCCCAATAGAACTTTAATCAGGAATGAACTACAGCTAACAAACACCTAAATATTAAAAAAATGGATTTTGAATTGAATTTTTTTAAATTTTGAAATGAATTATGCATCAGAAACATCTAGATAATATATATATATATATATATATATATATATATTACAAGTTCAATTAATTACTGTTCAAAATTTGGGGTTAGCAATTTGTTTTTGTTTTCTTTTTATTCAGCAACACATTAAATTGATAATAACTTTATATTCCTCAAAGGATCTTTAAAAAAAAAAAAAAAAAAGACAGCACAATACCTGCAGGTGAAGCACTAAAGCTGGACAGTGTTTGAAATCTGCCTACGTTGCATAGACAAGCCTCTGTCAAAAATAGCTCCACAGGGTCATGGAGAAGCACAGAGACCATTCAGATATAATGGGATATACATAGAAACTCGACACCACAAGGCGCCCACCAAAAAAAAAATCAGCCAATCAGAATACATCCTGTCGGTCATCAGTCATGACCTCCTTCAAAGAAACTGTACTGACAACATTACACCTCAGTATGCTGAAGATAGATGGGGGTGATGGGAGATTGAACAGAGGGGAAGGGCGCTAGTATCACAAAGCCAAGATCCGTTATGCTGTAGACTCAGAGTGATCAATTTACACTAGGCCAGGAATAAAAGATGACATGCGCTGGCCCATGGTCACTAGCATAGTGTGCTGGGTCAGCAAGCACGTCTACACACACACACACACACACACACACCACTTGCTCAACAGTGCACCAATGTCTGATTCGATTCTAACTTTATAAAGGCTAATATTCAAAATGATGGTATGTTGTTCTTGTAGTTTCCATGTGGTTGTCTTGTTGGCTTTTGAAAATAAAGGTATTTTAATTGACAGCATTATAGAAAGGCATGAAGGATACTTCAGGGAACAGTGAACAAGACACTGACCTCATTTTGCATTATTGATCGTTCATATTCATACTTCATATGCCTTTCACCTTTCAGACAAAAAGGTATGTAAATTCAATGATGTTTAAAGAGCCTAAATGAAATCCTGCAAGTCCTATAGTCCTATGGTGTGAGAAATAACCTCAATAAATATGAAATGTATGTATAATAATTATATAAGAATCAGTTATAAAAATACTATTATTTTATAAAACAAAGATACTGCAGTCTTACTCAACCTTGCATTGTAAAAATACACAGTCCTTATAACATCAAGAGTTATAAGCAAAAAGTTATGAAATTGTGACTCCAAGACATACTTCAAATATGAGCACCTCTGTCCTGTCTGATGTTGAGCAATTCCAGATGTTTGTGACCCAGTTGCAACTAAACCACAACTCAACTCACATGATTTCCTTTTTAAAGGAAAAAAAAAAACCTACCTGACAACTTTTTAGACATATTTTATAGTGAAAAAAGGGCTCCCACAGTGTGCACCCACACTGACAGACTTTTTATATCCTGCGGATAGCTTGGCTGGATAGCTTAACAACCTGCAGAAACCAACAACACCAGGGAACCGCAGGTCCAAGATGTGGAGGCACAGAAATGTCACATCAACGGTAAATCCCTGGTTTACCGCCCCTACATATTTTCACAGCGCGGCACAAAATGCTATTGTTATTTTACAGCAGCAAGATTCATAAGCATAATTTTACAACAAGACATTTGAAGGAGGAACTGGTAATATGATGAGCTGTTTGGTTGTTGACATGTTATGTCAAGCAGTGATGCCAAAACTATTTATTTAAAATAACTATTATTTTATCAGTTTATGACCTTGTTATATATTTGTACTTTTAAAATAACCCCAAAAATAAATCTGTCAAAATGTAAATTCTGTCACCCCATATTAAAACAAAACATGAAATAATGAAAATAAACACTGAAAACTAATTAGCAGTGCTGGCTAATGTGCCTTCTTTTACCTTTGTATATACAGGTATTTATGAAGGTGTAACACTTTACAAAAATATTTCATTTGTTGACATTAGTTAACTACTTAAGTTAACATGATCTAACAATGATCAATAATTCTACAGCATTTATTAGTTAATTAAATGTTAAATTTAATTAACTAATAAATGCTTAGTTAATGTTATGTTTAACATTTACTAATACATTTTTAAAATTGAAAGTTGTATTTGTTAACATTAGTTCATGCACTGTGAACTAACATGAACAATTGTAATTTTATTAACTAACATTGACAAAGATTATTAAACAAATGAGTTAACAAATTGTAAAGTGTTACTCCTGAAAGACTCAGAAAAACACAACAGCACCATGAAACCGCCATCGTACTAAAATAAACAAACAGTACATCATTAAATAAAGGCTTAAGTCTATTTTTTTCACTTTCTTACATCATCTTCCTTACATCTCTGCTCAAACACACACTAGTTTAGCTATCTAAATAAGAAAACTTCTATAATTTTCATAAAAAAAGTTAATTATAATTACTAGACTAATTATGTTTGTAATTTAAGCGTAATCATAACCACACAAACATTGCGTTTTACCTTCAGAGATGGGGCAGGTGAGCACCTGGGCGCTATAGGAGCTGAGAGGGGCCACTCGGGCCGAGTGTTTCTTCATCCTCTCCTCCTTCCTTGGGAGTCCTGAGCTTTTGGTGTGTGTGTGTGTGCGTGTGTGTATGAGCGGCACGGCTCAACTCCTCCGACAAACCCACTTCATCCCCACGCGCATCTCTCCTGTCACTCCCACAGTCTCTTTCTGGTTCCTCTTGATATCTTTTACGTTGCTCTTCTTCTGCTGTTACTTCTCTCTTTCTGCTAAGTGACAAACTTACTTTGCTTTCTCTCTGGCTCACACACACTCTCAGCGTGGCACATATAATCGTACAGTCGTGCTCTAGTGTAGATGTCGCACTGTCATGCTGCTATCCTGCGTCTCCTAGGGAGACTGAGCTTCAAGTGTGTGTGGAATGCAGTCATCCTCTTCATATCTCTCTCCCTCTGTTTCTCTCTCTCTCTGTCCCCGCCTTTTCTCCTGCTCAGAGTATCCTTTGCTGTGTTTGGAAGGTAACCAAGCAGCTCGGGCTAATTATGCTGCATAGGCCCCTCTCCCCTTTTTCTCTTTCTCCTCATCGTTCTTTCTGCTTTTCCAATCTGCCATTTTTTTCAGTCAGTTCCATCTTTGCCATGTTAAATTGATGAGGCAGTATGATAAAGATGAGCGATTTAGTAAAGTAAGAAAGTAGCTTTTTTTCTTTTTCTTCCTCTCTCTCCTTGCCCAATCACGCTCTTTCCTTCTTTCATCAGCACTTGTGCTCCACTTGAAGGGCCTTCACTGCTCGCTGTATCAGACGTCTTGTCTTTCTGTCTAAGTCTCTGTAGTGTTATGTTAATAAAACCCAGTATAGAGCCTTGGGGGATTCCATAAAAAGTCTTGTCTCTGAAAATTCAGTGTGTTCCTGGATGAAATGATACAATATCTCCTGTTAATCTCTCAAAGTGTCAGGAAGTGGGAGTCTGGGAACTGTACTTTTGTTTAAGTGGGAATTGCTTTTAGGATACTTGATGTTTACCAAAAAACATTTGAAAAAAATTAAAATTCTGTAATCTTTTACTTGCACTATTTGGCCTGTCTTCCTGCGGAACACAAAAATAGGTTTTTGAAGAATGTTAACACTGTACTTTTCCATATTATGCAAGGATACAGTGACCATAACCACTATGTCTTTCTTTTTTCCGTGGAATACAAAAGGATAAATTTTGCAGAATGTCAGAGCTGCTCTTTT